GTGGGACTAGTTTAGTTTGAGATTATGGTTGGCATTGACTGGTTGTACTGAAGGGTCTGTTTCCATGCTGTATGACTCTGACTATAGCAGCCTTGTAAATGCTGTGGTGACAAGAACAGGTCAGAGGCTAAGAATTCTGCAATGAGTAACTTGCCTCCTGACTCCCCAAAGTCTATCCTCCATCTTATGAAGCGTATGTTTGGAGTGCAAAGGAGTACTTTCCATTTGCCTGGGTGAGTGCAGTTCCAACAATACTCAAGATGCTCAACACTATCCAGGACAAAGTAGCCCATTTTATTCACCACTTTCAACATTAACTCTTCAAAGCAACGCACGGTGACAGACATGTGTACCATCTGTGAGATTCACTGCAGCAAGTTAATTATTCTCCTTCAGTGGCACTTTCCAAGCCCACAACATGTACCATCCAGAAGAATGAGCAGCAAATGTATGGAAACACAACCACCTATACAATCCACTCCAAACCACATATAATCCTGACTTGGAAATATGTCATTGTTCTTTCACTGTCAATGGGTCAAAATCCTCAAACCCCTTTTCTTACTAGCACTGTGTACCAACCAACCACCTCATCTCCACCACCACCCTTCCCACCACCCCCCCCCCACCCCCCCCAAACCTGTACATATTACCACAGTTAGCTTTAAAGTTGTTTTATTCATTGAATGTAATTGCATCAGCTGCTGCCATGATGAGGGATTGCTGACCTGTGAGATGCAGAGGGATCTGTGTGTCCTGGTGTATTAATTACAAAACACAGTATTTTGGTACAGCAAGTAATTGGGAAAGCTAATGCAATGTTATTTATTGTAAAAGGAATTAAATACAAAAGATATGTTTTATTTCTATAAGGCATTAGTGATATCAAATCTGGAGTACTGTGTTCCATATTGGTTTCCCTTGTTTGGGAAAGGCTGTAAATGTATTAGAAGAGGTTGCAGATGATTTTACTGCATTAATATCTGGTATGAACAGGTTACCTTATGAGGAAAGGTTGATCGGGCCTGGATTGTAAGTCTTGGCGTTATGAGTAAGAGTTAACTTGATTGCGACAAGGGGTCTTGAGAGGGTGGATGGGGAAAGAATGTTTCCTCCTGTGGGAGAATCTAGAACTGGGGGTCACTGTTTTTAAACTAAGCGGTCAATGATTTAAGGCCAAGCAGAGGGGAAATTCTTGGAGTATTGAGAGTCTTTAGAACTCCTTCAAAAGGCGGCAGAAGCAAAATTTTTGAATATTTTTAAGGCGGACATAAATGCTTGATCAGCGAGGAGTTAAATTTTGTCAAGATTGATGTGTATATGGAGTAATCAAATCAGCCACAATCTTGCCAAATAACGTAGCAAGCTCAAGGGGCCAAGAGGACATCTCCTTTTCCTAATTGTATGCATGTCTTAAACCTTGATGTCCATGCTGATGATAATTGCCCAATATCAGTGGCACAAAATAAGATAAAAATTTGCAGATTTATCGTACCTTTATCATGGACACTATGACCTAGTTGTAAAGCCACTAGACAAGTAATCCCGAGACTGAGGCTATTCCCCTCGAGATGTGGCAGCTGCTGAATCTCACTGTGGCAACTGTTGCATTTAAATCCAATTAATATATAATATTGAAAACCAGTCTTAGTAATGCTGACCGTGAAACTATGATCAATTGTCATGAAGCCTAGTCCAGTTCACTAATATCCTTTCAAGACAGAAATTTGTCATCTTTGCTTAGTTTGGTCTGCATGATTCATAACTGCCCTCTGAAACAACTTAAAAAGCCATTCAGTTGTGGAAACTGATGATGGCCAAAACATTCTGGCTTTGCTGATGTCGACCACATCCCATGAAAGAACATTTAAAATCTTTATCAGCAACAGCTGAGATCACCTTATCCAATAAGTGCAATTGTCTGGATGTGCATGGCAGCCATTTTGTGTAGAGCAAGATCTGACCTATTTTTGTTTATGAATTTGTTCTAAGCCTTACTGGTACATGAATAATTGGTTAAGAAGTAGGATGAAATTAAATCTTGCTTGTTTTTGAGAATTAAGCAATTATGTGGTTGACTTTCAGGTACGCAAGTAAAAGGCACAAAAGTGTAGGTTAGAGTATAGCATTGATAAGAGAATGGTCAAAGAAACCAGAAACAATGCAGGAAGAGCTGAGAAGGTTTGCCCCAGAGTTGGTGCTTGTATCTCTGCAGAAGTTTCACTTTTGGCCCACAAAAGTTAACTTATTGTGAGGAACTAAGATTCATCAGATTTGGAGCAAGACTAATAACAAAGTCAATGGGAACAGAGAATACTGAAAAAGAAAGGATTTTAGTGTTGTTATGTATTTAACAGTTGTATTTTTAAATATATTGTCTGTTAGTCAAAAAGTGCTCGGTAATTTGTTGATAAAATACTCAACATGTCACTTCTACTACAATACAGCAATTTACTAAAACTAATAGAACACTGATCACCAGAACAGCAAGCCCACAAAGTTTATGTAAAATTTTACTCTGCTGTGTTCAGATCAAGCTCTGAATACTGTTTGATATAGAGAACTCACTGAAAAACAAATATGCAACAAAAAGCAAAAGATTGCAGAAAAAAACTAAAAGAACTGTGGATGCTGTAAATTAGAAACAAAAATTGAAATTGCTGGAAAAGCTCAGCAGATCTGGCAGCATCTGTGGTGAGAAATCCGAGTTAACATTTCGGGTCCAATGACCCTTCCTCAGAACCCAGAGCCCTTGGACCCTTTGTTAACTCTGATTTCTCTCCACAGATGCTACCAGACCTGCTGAGCTTTTCCAGCAATTTCTATTTTTATTTCTAAAAGACTGCAGGTAATGAATTTAAAATGAAAACAAAATGGTGTTAGCACATAATAATAGGTCAGGATCTATTTGACTAAACTGGTTCTGTCAAAAGGCCATTAGTCCAAAACATTAACTCCACCCTCCTTTCTGCATTGATGCTACTTGTTCTGCTGTGTGTTTCCAGCATATTCAGTTTGATTTGGTAGGGAAAGGATGCAGAAAACCGTAACAAGATTGTTTTTGAAAACAGTCAGGTAGGAACCTTATCAAAATGTCTAAGATGCTACTGATAATGTCCTTTAGCATCTTAGCATTGAGTATATACTTAGTTCATTTGCCCTCGGAGTGTATTGCATTAACAGAAATCTACTGGAGAAACTCAGCTGGTCTAACATCATCTGTGGAGAGAAAGCGGAGTCAATATTTCGAGTCCAGTGACCCTCCTTCAGAACCCTAAAGGGCCACAGAATTTGAAACGTTATCCCTGTGAGTTAGTGTGAAGGCAAGTGAATGGGGTTGAGAAACATCTCCGCCATAACTGAATGTCAGAGCAGAGTCAATGGACTGAACCGTCTAATTCTGTTCCTATGTTTTTTGGTCTAATTTGGCATTCTACTAACCAGTCTGGTTTCTTGAGGTCATTTGAAGCTTCCGCATTGTTTCATCAAAGCCCAAGCTAATGTATGAAGTGCCTGATTGGTGTTACCAGTTCAATTAAACATCTTCCCTTGCCCCACTATTAATATGTTCTCTCTACTCTAAATGGATCAACCTTCTCAGCTGCTATACAAGTGACATGTAAAGTTTTAGTATTACTTTTGCCAAGGGCAAGGTCTGCACATGCTGCAACTTATTTTAATGAAAGAACGAAAACAGCTGTAATTTTTCATGCTGCCTGTGTGATTGGCCAACCCAGGAACATGGTCTTTTGCTTTCCCTCAGAACTCTTAGTTATTGACAATGAGTTGCTCCCACATTCTAATAGAACGTAAGAGCATAAGAACTAGAAGCAGGAGCAGGAGTAGGCCATCCGGCCCCTTGACCCTGCCCCGCCATTTAATAAGATCATGGCTGATCTTTTTGAGACTCAGCTCCACTTACCAGCCCACTCACCATAACCCTTAATTCCTTTACTGTTCAAAAATTTATCTAGTCTTGCCTTAAAAACATTCAGCAAGGTAGCTTCAACCGCTTCACTGGGCAGGGAATTCCACAGATTCACAACCCTTTGGGTGAAGAAGTTCTCCTGAGCTCAGTCCTATATCTGCTTCCCTTTATTTTGAAGCGATGCCCTCTAGTCCTAGTTTCACCTGCTAGTGGAAACAACCTCCCTGCCTCCACCTTATCTATTCCTTTCATAATCTTATGTTTTATAAGATCTCCCCTCATTCTTCTGAATTCCAATGAGTATAATCCCAGTCTACTCAGTCTCTCCTCATAGTCCAACCCTCTCAACTCTCGAATCAACGGAGTGAATCTCCTCTGCACCCCCTCCAGTGCTAGTATACCCCTTCTCAAGTAAGGAGACCAAAACTGCACACAGTACTCCAGGTGTGGCCTCACCAGGACCCTATACAGCTGCAGCATAGCCTCCCTGTTTTTAAACTCCATCCCTCTAGCAATGGCAGACAAAATTCCATTTGCCTTTTTAATTACCTGCTGCACCTGCAATCCTACTTTTAGCGATTCATGCACAAGGACACCCAAGTCCCTCTGCACAGCAGCATGCTGCAATTTTTTACCATTTTAAAACCTTTTGAACTGGAGTTCATCCTGTCTGTAAAAATAGCTCAAATCAGTGGGTTATAAAAGTGTGAACATGTTTGGCTAATACAATGAGTAGTAAATGCCAAATGTCAGTGTCGTTTATAGGTATAATGATAGCAACCTGCAATTAAATGTGTTGCAATGCTTTTGGTGAGTGAGCTGTATGCAAAGCTGAGATGAAGGGAACTCTTGAACAAAAACTCTATATACAAAGGGCACAAAACCTCCAGAATATTTGTTAAAAGCACTTAAAACACAGTGTAGGATTACGCCATGAAAAATGACTGACTTGCTTAAGGCAGTGCATTCTTGGGAGCTTTAGTTTTTGTCTTGACTCACCTAGCATTTTCTGGTGCAGAGATGCTGTGCAGCTTGTCTTTTTAATATTTAATCAACCTTATTCTTTTTTGACAGGTTAAAAGTGTCTTCAATATGACAGCAAAAGAAGGAAGGAAGAGATCGGTCAGTGCTCTGGTGGCAGTTGGAAATGCAAATGGAGCTGCAGGTAAGTTCTGAGATGAAGGAACCAGTTGGCTTAACTTTTCTATCAAGGTCATCAAAAGAGAAAGCGAAGAAAACACATTTACCTGGATGATCTGATATTGTTAGCTTATACTTCAATTTTATCGTGGGCAAACCTTATCTTGTAATCATTTTGAAACTAAATAATGTTGAAATAGCATGAATGGAACAAATCATTCGATGTTTGAGGCAACTAAAGATACACTGGGAGGGGAAGATGATTATACCAAGTGCTCATGTGCAAACATGACCTTGGGAGAACTGACACCTGTGTTAAACTTTCTCCCTCCTGCCACTGCAGCACATTCAGGCCTATAGTTTCATCATGTGTTCAATAGTCCTTTACATGCTTCCCAACATCACTTTTTCGTATCTTAACTGGTGAATGAGGAATGGCAGGAGTTCTTTGGTACAAGCAAGGAGAAGTGTGAAAATATGTGTGCGCTGGAGTGGCGGAGCACAGACGAATGTCACACTGCCTGTAGCTTGGAAATTAATTGTGGTATGAGGAAGGGGTGAGAGGTTAGAAGAAGGGTTAGATTTGAGGATATTCTCATCTTCTTTGGTTTCAGTCTGCTTGCTGGCCATGGCCTTAGACATGATCTCAAGTACCATCTCCATAGGGTTGAGTGCACGTAGCTGTGCGTATTCCCTGTTGGTTAGATCCTGCTGCCTCTGCTTGTCCACTACCTTGTCCTGCAGAGTAAGATGCCAGCGAGTATGGTATAATGTGACTGATGAGAGCATTAAAGTTAAATAACTAGCAGTCTGTGCAGTCCTAGAATCTCAGAATTCCTATAGTGCAGAAAGAGGCTATTGGGCCCATCAAGTTTGTACCGACCCTCTGAAGATCATCCAGCCCTATAACCCCACATTTCCTGTGGCTAGTCCACCTAACCTGCACATCCCCGGACACTATGGAAAATTTAGCATGGTCAGTCCACCTAAGCTGCACATTTTTGGACTGTGGGAGGAAACCAAACCACCCGGAGGAAACCCACACAAACTCCACACAGACAGTCACCTGAGGGTGGAATTGAACCCGGGTCTCTGGCGCTGTGACATAATAGTGCCAGCCACTGTGCTGCCCATCTAATGTAAATGCAAGTTCTGATTGTCGAAAGTCACTAACTGGTTGAAAAGCTTTTTCAAGAAGTGTAGGTACTGTTTGTTGCCTGGGTAACCCAGCAGATAATTAGCACATAGCAATAAATCAAATGAGCAATTGTGGAAGAATCCCTGCTCTTCTTGGTAGTACCGTGGGATCTCTTGTATTCACACCAACTAACAAACATAGCCTGAATTTACTGCCTCATTTGAAAGGGAACATCTCCTTCAGTGAAACGCACTCTATATCAAAGTGGCAGATCGCTCATATGCTGAAACGGCCTTCATCCCTGGAGGAATAGACAACATGAGCCTAACAACTTGCATTATTCATCCCAAACCAGTTCCTTACCGTGCCCTATTTTTGCGGTTTCAACGGCTTTGGAAATACTGGGATGTATTCTGCCAGAAATCAGCTTAGTGTCAGTTTGGTCAAGTTTCATAGGGGATTTCTGTCTGTGAGACATGGTGAGTTTACTCATGCAATTGTCTCAGACTCATTAACTGGATACTGTGCCCTTCTGGAGCCCCTCTCCATTGGCTCATAGATATTTACAGCACAGGAGGAGGCCATTCGGTCCCCATGTCAGAGCCAGTCAACAAAGATCTGGTTACTGTAATCCCATTTTACAGTTTTTGGTCCTATTGCCTTGGAGGCTGTGACAATGCAAGTGAATGCCTAAAGACTGCTTAAATGTTACAAGAGTTTTCAGGTAGTAAGTTCCAGACTCTAACCACCCTTTGTGTGAAAAGATTTCTCCTGAATGTCTCTTTTAGTGTTCTATCTTGTCCCTTGAATCTGTGCCCTCTGGTTATTAGTCCCTCTACTAATGGAGTAAGTGTCTTGCTATTCACCTTATCTGTATATTATGGTATTATGTACCTGTATCAGGTCCCCTCTCAACCTTTGCTGTTCCAAGGAAAACAAACCCAGCTTATTCAATCTTTCCTCATATCTCAGACCCTCTGGTGCAGACAGCATTGTGTTAAATTTCCTCTGCACCCTCTAGTATATTCACATCATTTTTGGAATTGACATCATGGCTGCATTTGACCAAATGTGGCATCAAGGAGTAAAACTAGAGTCAATGGGAATTGGGGTAGGGAGATAAACTGTCCACTAGTTGGGGTTGTACCTAGCAGGAAGGAAGATGATTGTGGCGGTCGAAGGTCAGTCATCTCAGTCCAGGACAGCTCTGCAGGAGCTCCTCGGGATTGTGTCCTTGGCCCAACCACCTTCAGCTGCGTTATCGATATCCTTGCCCCCTCATCATACGTTCAGAAATGGGGATGTCCACTGATGATTGTGCAATGTCCAGAATCATTTGCGACTCCTCAGATACTGAAGTAGTCCGTGCCCAAATGCAGCACAACCTAAAAAATATCTAGGCTTGGGCTAGCAACATTCAATTCTTTGTCAGGCAATGGCCATTTCCAAAGAGAGAGAATCTGACCATGGCCCCTTGAGATTCAACAGTGCTATCATCGCTGAATCACCCAGTATCAACATCCTGGGCTCACCATTGACCAGAAACTGAACTAAAATGATCATATAAATGATGTGGCTACAAGAACAGGTCAGAGGCTAGGAATTCTGCAGTGAATAACTCACATCCTGACACCCAAAATCCTGTCCATCATCTACATGGTACAAGTTAGAACTGTGTTGGAATGCTCCCCATTTGCCTGGATGGGTGCAGCTCCAACAGCACTCAAGAAGATTGATACCATCCAGGACAAAGCAGCCTGCTTAGTTGACATGACATCTGGAATCATCTGCTCCCTCTAACACTAATGTTTAATAGCAGGGGTTCCTAGGAGTAATTCAGGAGACACAGCAAAAAATTCATCCCTAGGAAGAAGAAGCATGGTACAGGGATGATAAGGCAACCCCGTGGCTAACTAGGGAACTCCGGGATAGCACAAAAGCAAAAGAGAAAGCATATAAATGTGGCAAAGGGCAGTGGAAAACCAGAGGATTGAGAAGCTTACAAGGACCAAAAGAGAGCAACAGAAAAAAAACAAAATGAGGGAAAAGATTAAATGAGGGTAAGCTAGCCAGTAATATAAAGGAGGACTGTGAGAGTTTCTATATAAGGGCAAAAGTGGACATTGGACTGCTAGAGAGATAGTAGTGAGGAGCAAGGAAATAGCTGAGGACCTGAATAATTACTTTTCGTCAATCTTCACAATGGAAGACACGAGTAATATCCCAAAAATTTGAGAGAGTCGGGGGGCAGGGCTGAGTATGGTGGCCATCACCAAGAAGAAGGTGCTAGAAAAACTGAATGGCCTGAAGGTGGATAAATAACCAGGACCCGATGGACTACACCCCAGAGTTCTTAAGGAGATAACGGAAGAGATAGTGGAGACGTTGGTGGTGATCTATCAGGAAATCGCTAGAGCCAGGGAAGGTCCCAGAGAACTGGAAAATGGCTAACGTGACACCCCAGTTTAAAAAGGGAGTAAGGCAAAAGATTGAAAATTACAGCTGATTAGCCTAACCTCGTTCGTGGGTAAGATTTTAGAGTGCATTATGAAGGATGAGATTTCTGAATATTTGGAAGTGCACGGTAAAATAGGGCAAAGTCAGCATGGCTTCATCAAGGGGAGGTCATGCCTGACAAATCTGTTAGAATTCTTTGAGGAAGTAACAAGCAGGTTAGACCAAGGAGATGGATGTTATCTACCTGGACTTAAAGAAGGCATTTGACAAGGTGCTGCACAGGAGGCTGCTGAGTAAAATAAGGGACCATCGTGTTAGTGGCAAGGTGCTAGCATGGATAGAAGATTGGCTATCTGGCAGAAAGCAGAGAGTGGGGATAAAAAAGGGTCTTTCTCAGGATGGCAGCCGGTGACAAGTGGTGTTTCACTAGGGTCAGTGTTGGGACCACAACTTTTCAGTTTGTACATTAATGATTTAGATGATGGAGCTGAGGGCATTCTCGCTAAGTTTGCAGATGACACAAAGATAGGTGGAGGGACAGGTAGTTTTGAGGAGGTGGGGAGGCTGCAGAAGGATTTGGACAGGTCAGCAGAGTGGGCAAAGAAGTGACAGATGGAGTACAACGTGGGAAAATGTGAGGTCATGCACTTTGGTAAGAAGAATAAAAGCTTGGACTATTTTCTAAATGGGGAGAAAATTCAGAAATCTTAAGTGCAAAGGGACTTGGGAGTTCTAGTGCAGGATTCTCTCAAGGTAAACTTGCAAGTTGAGTGAGTAGTTAGGAAGGCAAGTGCAACTTTGGCATTTATTTTGAGAGGACTTGAATATAAAAGCAGGGATGGACTTGTGAGGCTCTCTAAAACATGGCCTGACCAGAGCTTTATAGTTTTGTATGCAGATTTGGGCCCCATATCTCAAGAAAGATGTACTGGTCCTGGAGTGGGTTCAGAGGAGGTTCACGAGAATGGTCTGAGGAATGAAAAGCTTAACATATGAGGAATGTTTGAGGACTCTGGGTCTAAACTCTATGGAGTTTAGAATGATGAGGGGGGGGATCTAATTGAAACTTACAGAATACTGAATGGCCTGGACAGAGTGGATGTTGGGAAGATATTTCCATTGGTAGGAGACTAGGACCCGAGGGCACAGCCTTAGAGTAAAGGGAAGACCTTTTAGATCAGAGATAAGAAAAAACTTCTTCAGCTAGAGAGTGATGAATCTATGGAATTCACTGCCACAGAAGACTGTGGAAGCCATGTCATTGAATATATTTACTCAAGTTCTTGATTGTCAAGGGGATCGAGGATTACAGGGAGAAAGCGGGAGAATGGGGTTGAGAAACTTATCAGCCATGATTTAATAGCAGAGCAGACTCGATGGGCTGAGTGGCCTAATTTCTGCTCCTATGTTTTATAGTCTTATTGTCTTAA